TTGTGCGATCGACAGGTGTCCCGTGGTGTCCCGTTGAGTGAGATCGATAGTGAGGTCGATGCTGAGATCGATGCGGTGTCCCGAGGTGTCCTGTGGTGTCCCGTGGTGTCCCAAAAAGTGAGATCGGTAGTGAGATCGATCGTGAGATCGACAGGTGTCCCGCGGTGTCCCGTGGTGTCCGGGTGAGTGAGATCGATAGTGTGATTGATAGTCAGATCGATACTGAGATCGATCGTGAGATCGATGTGGTGTCCCGAGGTGTCCCGTGGTGTCCCGTGGTGTCCTATGGCGTCCCGTTGAGTGACATTGATAGTTAGACCGGTAGTGAGATCGAGAGGTGTCCCGCGGTGTCCAGTGGTGTCCCGTGGTGGCCCGTGGTGTCCCGTTGAGTGAGATCGATAATGAGATCGATTGGGTCAGATATTGGTCCCCCCCCTCTTCCCCCCACAACCTCCTCATCACCCGAAGGGTGGTCGTATAGGTATGTGACGGAAGCCACCTGCGCAATCACTTGGATTCGTACTACATCGAATTTGCTGGAAGGTCTACAAGGAAGTTCGCTCCAGCTACGTTTTAACGCGCCGGCAGAGTATGGGCAACATGACATGCATGATGGGGCATGGGGTGTTCGTCGCAGTGCCACGGGCGCCACGTGCACCAGCGCCTGCCCAACCAGCACCACCAGCGTAACCACTACGAGTGGGACCAGCAGCGCCACGCGCAGCAGGACCGCGTGGAGCAGTGCCATTGCCCAGCCGCCTCGGTGGCACCATAGTGACAAACAGGACTGAGACCAACGGTTGGACCACGCAGAGAAGAACCAACACGCTCAACGGCAATAGCTCGATCACCGCGACCTGGACAAACAGCGACGCGAGCAGCAGTTTGCGCGGCCAGCCGCGAGCAGCTCCGGCGCAGCCAGCGCCATGCGCAGCGGCACAAAAGTTTTCACCGACACCAGCTCGCCTACCACGTCGTCGACAGCCGCGGCCGCCTCGCGAGAGGACAACCTGCTGCTGGCCGCTGCCTTGAGCCAGAATGCAGGGGGTGAAAATTAGTGCAGCATGTTTTGGTCTGCCAGGGCCCCCGTCGGTCCCTGCTCTGTTTCCGATTGGGGGGTTATGTGGCTTCCCCATCGCGTGCCCTGGTGGCGCCTGGTTGCGCGGCCATGTAGTTCTGAGGCCATCCAGACCTGCTGGCACATCTGCGTCGGCGCCCTGACGGCGACTTCGATCAGAGCGATTGGGGGCGCCGCTAATCGCAGCCTCAGCACCAGTTCCACGCGCAACAGCAGCAGCAGCTGCAGCGAAGCCAGCCGCGCCACGGCGACTACCGCGGCGTGGACGAGCGACGCCAGCACCACTCGCAGCAACAACTTCGCACCACAATCACCATTCGCATCTGCAGGACGCGCGAGGCAAGCGGGGCCAGCTCGCCTGCCGCTGCGTCGACAGTCACAACAATCTTTCGCGGTGGCTCCCGACTGATGTGCACGCGCCAGAACTGCTCCGAGGAGTGAAGGAGGGACGGAACCAGCATTTGCATGGTGCTATGGGCTCTGGACCGGCCAGGCCCTCCGCCCCCAGCTCCGTTCGGTCGCGGACCTGACTGGCGCCCCCGGAACGTTCACCCGCGGGGCCCGGCCCCAAGCTTTGGAGAATATTTGCGGAGCGCGGCTCCAGGGGCGCCGAAACCTTCTCCGGCCGCCAGCGCGCCCGCGTCGGCATCTTGACGACAATCGCGGACAGCGCGATTGGGCGCGCCACCAGAGAGAGCGGCAGCGCGGGGGCCACGCGCAGCTGCATCAGCGAACCAGCAGCGCCACGGATCACCGCGACTGGGACCAGCTGCACCGCCCGCAGCAGCAACGGCGCACCTAGCACCACCGCGCGCAGCAGCATCAGCACCGCTAGCAGCCCCAGCGTTCCGACCATCGCGCACCAATAGCCAGAGTCCTTGCGCCACCAGTAGCCCCGCTGCGACCACCACGACTGGCAACGGGGTAGCCACGAGTAGCGGTACTTTGGCACCCAGGAGCACTGCCACGCCCACCACGACTGGGTCCACGGGCAGCAGCATCATCACCACTATCCGCAGCACCACTGCGCCCACCACGATTGGGCATAGCGGCGCCACTCTCAGCAGCGCGCGCACATCTGCCACGCCAGTCGCAGCGCCGCCAGCGCGCCCAGTAGCGCCCTGGCGCCTACCACGCCGTCGGGGGCCACGACCGCCACCCGAGTGGCCTACCCGCTGGTGGCCGCATTTCAGAGTTGCCATGGGGCGGGGTAGCGGGGCGCGGACCTTGCCAGAAGTTCCGTCCGAGGGCGCGGAGGCCTCCCTGATCTACCCGCGCATCTGAATCGGAGTCCTGCTGTGACCGCGCGCGGCCTTGGTGAGCCGCGGCGCGTCGGTCTCTCCGCGCCCCCCCCCTCCACCCCTCCTTCTCCGTCGCCGCCGGCAGCGGTTGGCCGGGCCCTTGAGTCCTGGCTGCTTCACTTTCCAGACCCGGGCCAGTTTGATTGTTGCTTCCCGCCGTGGAGTTCGGGGCCCTCGGGGGGAAACAAAGGGCCCCGTGGACTTCGCGGGCGGAGAGTCAGACGAGTCGTTGTACTGCGGGACCATCGGGGGCCACTCGGTGATACCCACCACGGTTCGGGACAGCGGATCTGATTCGACCCGAGCCGGTCGCCGGCGAGTCACAGATCTGGACGCCGACGCGGCGCCCCCAGACTTCCAGAAGGCCGACGCGCCGCCCGGCCACCTGCTGCCTCAGGTGGACCGCGCGGTGAAGTTCAAACTTCAGATGCGATTCAAGCCGGAGCGCGTGGCCGATGGCATCGGAGACAAGGCCATTTGGTTCGGCCCGGGCAGACCGGCCTGTTCGAGCAAGGACCTCATCATAAGTTGGGGCATCCGAGCAATGGGGGCCTAGCCAGATCCCTGCGCTTCTCTGGCTGCCATGCTGAGGTGGTCACTGTAGCAAAGTCATTGCGACGCGCGTCATATCTGATGAAGGTCCGCAAGGAGATTGCCCGACCAGCGCGTTCTGTCTCACGCGGCCAATTTCAACGAGGAGATCGGCTTGTACTGTTTCATCGTCAAGGACGCCGATGCCACATCTTGGGATGTTCTGTCAGCGGCGGATCTGGGAACTACAAGTCACGCGGCGAAACCGATTGAGAGTCATGGTTTGGGCGCGTTGGTTCGAGCATTTTCCCAGATCTGGACAAGCTGGGCAGGGGTCCCCCCGGGCGTGGTGGTGGACCTTGAAAGAGGCTTCGGGTCGGTATTCCGGGTTTGCAGGACAAGCGGCGCGGCAACGTGACATGACTGGAAAGACAAGAAGGTGGGTAGTTGGAGCTGGCCGAGCGGGCCACGGCTCATGCCGCAGCCTCCAGAGAAGACAACATGCGCGCCATGGCCTCCGTCGTCGCTGGAGCCAAGAACGCGTTGCGCCGACATGCGGGGTCTTTCCGGAGCAGTGGGCGCGTGGCAGGAGTGCTGGCCACCCTGCTGACCTAGTGGACGGGGCTCGCGGCGAAGTAGCTCGCGAGGGCGCAGAGCTTCAGCCGGTGGAGAAGCAGCTCGAGACGAGGACTGGTGCCCGCAAGGCTTTCCTGGAAACGCAGAACGAAAGCACCTTGCTCAAGGCTCTCCTCGGTCGGGCGCGAGCAACGCCATCCGCTCTAGCATGGGGACAGGTGCTTCTGCTACCGCCAGCTGAAGAAGAGCTCCATCAAGAAGGATGCGCCTTTGGGCCATGCCGCGGCGGTGGGCAAGCAGGGCCAGAACGACCGGATCTCGCGCGGTGGTTTCACATAGCTCGCGGCGCCCGAACACGTTCGCCCAGCATCTGCGGAAGCGGTTCGGTGGCCAGGTCTCGACGATCTGCGTGGAGAGGCCATTGATCAGTTACGACGAGTCCACCGAGATGTCGACGCGGGCGGCGGATGGACTGCGAGGCCCTCGGAGCGGGACCCCCCCCCCGCCGCAGGTCGAAGCAGAGGGCGCGCAAGCGGGCCCGCCAGAGGCCGAGGGGCCAGACAAGGTGGCGCCGCCGCCGAGAGCCCCTGCGCGGAGCTCCCCCTTGCTGTGGTCGAGCTCCCGGCCGCGCAGCCAATGCCAGCGCCCCCGCCACCGGCGGCGCCAGGTGCAGCTCCGCCGCAGACGGGGCCGGACTGCAGATCCTGGAGCCGCGAGACGTTTCAACGACGACGATCGGCATGCTGCCTCTCCATGACGCGCCACAATGCTTCCGCAGCACGCGAGAGAGAGATGGGGCCTCGCGACAAGCATGACGGCCACACTACGAGATAGCCGGTGGCGGCGTGGACGAGGAGAGCGCGACCAACTCGACCGCCGCGGCCACGATGGGGGGGGCGGGAGCTCAGGGTGACCGACCCTGAAGTAGCTGAAGGATGTAGTAGAGGTCGCATGCCCGAGGCGCAGAGGCCACTCTACCACAAGGCCATCGCGGACCACTGGGAGGAGTTGAAGAAGTTTGGTTCCGCGGAGGTGGTGTCGCCCCAGGAATCCGAGATGGCCAGGGGGCGGGGCGGCGAGGCAAGGTTCCTGCCCTCGAGGCTCGTGTTCAGCGGCAGGAATGCTTTCTGACGCCCCCGCAGCCGCTCGCAAGAGTTTGTTTCCTTCTTCCATCATGGCATCTCGGCGTGGATGGGATTCGGCATGGGCAGGGGCGAGGGGCAGCCGCGCGAGATGAAGCTATCCAGGTGCAGCCTGTTCAGGAATTGCCCAGACCCGAGCGCGGACAAGTTCTGGGACTGGTGACGGGAGTGTTATGAAGATCTAACGCGCCAAAACACTGGCTGGCGTCTTTGAAGACACCGCTGCAGAAGGTCCAGATGCATGAGGTGAATGGAAGGTTAACGGAAGCCTTTTGGATTTGGGTTCAGGGTCTCGTGGATCCAGCTATGCGCGCTGGCAATGGTACCGATGGAGCTCTGCATGCCGCAGTGCGCGCGCAAGTCGGCGATCTGATGATCGCCGCCAGCGCGGAGCACAGCAACCAGACCATCGAGAGCCTGTTCCCGTTCAATGGCTGGCAAGGATTCCCCGGCACAGTCTGCGCCAAGCACGCGGCGACCACATGGGCCCGTTCGCTTGTGCCGGGAGGTCAATGCCGACAAGCTGGGGCCCCGCAACCTGGCCGAAGAGCGCAAGAGAGATCTGGAATGCCCAGCGACCGACCTGGATTTCGCAGATCAGCTGAAGCCTAGCCGGATGTCAGGCTGGCTGGGGACGCAGACAAGACCAGACTTGTGAGCAGGAGTCTCCACGCCGCTGAGAGTTCACAATGCATCCACCAGCGGCCGCCGACTCGATCGAGACGAACCGCACTGTGTCCGAGGCTAGCCATTTCAATGGCGCGGGAGCAATGCCCCCAAGCTGTTGGACGACTCGTGCATCCTGGTGTTCCGCGACGCTGCCTGGGCCGACGTAGGCGAGCTCGACGACGAGGTCACTGTAGCGGCACGGCGGCGCGCCATGAAGGGCATGGACACATTTTGCTTCGGATGCGCCTCGGCGGTCCACGGCGCAAAGCCAAGCTGGATTCCTCAATCACGTGGTAGAGACAAGGGTCCTGAAGGATTGAGAAGGAATAGCAGCTATGGTTGATTGGAGATCAGTTACCAGAAGGAAAGTTTGCCCCCGGACTTTTGCAGCAGAGACTACACGTGCGGGTGGCGCCCTTGAAACAGCTATATTGTTGCGAGTTTCTAATTTGAACATCCCGTGCCCGAGCATGACGCGGCACGCCATGGGCCCGAGCATCTGCCCGATCCACTACGCGATGAATTGCGTGTCGCTGCATGGCGCCATCCATTTTGAAGTAGCCGTCAACTTGCCAGCAGAACGGAGGTTGGTTCTAGATTCGATAGGACTGAGAGGGCTGTGTGAGGATGAACTGTATTTGGGAGTGGCTGCAGCGACCACGCCACAATTGCCCTTGCCCTGGTGTCTGACCGTATACGCGTTGGTGGATGCCCTGGCAAAGCGCATGGTTTGATCAAGAAGCGATGTCAAGCAGAGTTGTGTTTCATCCAGATACGCCGCCAGACAACGACGAAGGCAGTAGCACGCTATTGGCCTCATGGGCCACAACATGTGAGAACGTGGATATGGTAATGACTGGTTACGCCCAACCGGGGTTCGAAAGGCGAATTGACCGATCCAGCCGATGATCATGATTTGCGCCTGTGTTGTTCCGTTCGTTGAATCTTGCATACTACACCCGGTAAAGCATATGTGCGTCTGTCTGCTTGTCACTGTGCACTGATAGCGCCAAGCCTGAGCGCGCCCGGGCTGATGGCCAGCTGGCCGCCCTCGTTTCTTTTCTGGCACGCGCGACGCGCCCCGCGCGCAGATCACGGCCCGCGGCCTCCGCGGGACAACCAGCTTTTAGGACGAGTGTGGAAATCCAAACTTTTTGCATGCATGCGTTTGTCCGTCGTTCCCATGGCGGCATCTGTATGTGACAGTTTGGATTCGGGCCCTTGAGCTTCATGCTGCTTAGCGCAGTGCACATATCGCCGCGAGCTGCGGCTGCCCCAAAATCGCACTTCCACGCGCGGGAAAGGCGGCGCAGGCTGGTCGTACACTCACTCAGAGACGGAGGAAGCAATGGAGCCAGTTCAACGTTCACACTATCACGCCCGGCATTCCAAGACTGTTCGTGGGGCGCAAATAATCCGCATCACAGGCTAGGACGGATATTCGAGAGAAGGTGGTGGCTAAGCAGACTCGCGCAACACGCTGCAACGTGCGACGCCGACACGACCGCAGCAAAGAAGGGGCCTACTTGGATGGTACCCCGCGCGCAGATACATGTCGGCCGCGGACGATACGATGCCACGCGGTTGTGGTGGAACAACTCGGTTGTGCACCACTATGCGGTTGGGGCGAATTGGGCGGCGTTCAGTGGCCGGTAGCACTCAGATCAATCGGCCCAGTGGCGTTCTTGTTGCAGTGCTCTGAATATTTCGCAGGCCTAAAGGTTAACACCAGCACCAAGATCGGCGGTGTGCGTCCACTGAGGGAAGACGATCCCGATCTCGGCGATGGTGGTAATATTCCGGCTTCCAGGGTGGCCGAAATATTGCCACCAACGCCGGAATCTAGGATCATCTTCCCTCTGTGGAGGCACCCCCCTGGGCTGGTGTTGCTGCGAATTCCCATGCCTCCTAATACTGGGCACGAGGATTTCACGACTTGCCCCTCGGCTCGGAGTCACGCGGCGATTTGTGACACCAGAGCCATCCTCCACCACAGGCCAGCGGCGACGGGTGATAAGGCTGTTTGCGCAGCAGCATGCCATCATTGTCGCGCAGGAAGTCCACGACACTGGCGAGGAGTTGAAGCTCTTATGTAGCATCAAGAAGATCATTGGTGCGATGAGGAGGTCGTTCCTGGCAGAGTTCAGAGACGGCTTACGAATGCGAGAGCTAAGTAATGCCAGCCTGACACCATGCTCAACATTTCCAACGCCCGTAGCTTTCGTTTATTCACATCTCAGGTGGAGACCACTCATGCTCACATCGCTGCAAAGACGCCAGTTGCTTCCAGTAGCCCACGCAAAGTACCCGCGCTGCGCTAGCCACGGGATAATTCCAATTATCGCGATACGGCGCCAATGCATCTAGATGCGCCTGAGATTGACGATGGGCTGACCGTGGCTCCAGGAGCTCGGTGGCATCTGGTCGGCGGCGTTCTCGGACATGCTGGAATTGGGCCCCGATCGCCCCTCGAATTTCGTCGCGAGAGACCAGACGCTTGCGCGGCTGGACCAGATTTTCATCCGCGCGCTAGCTCGGATTCTCGTTCAATGGTCGATGGGCGCATCAGGGCATCATCTCCCCGAAAAGCTTTTCGACCAGGGCATGTTGGGCCATGCCCCAGTCCAGATCACTTTCGCGCGTGAGAGCCAGGGGCCCACGGGGGGCCAGGCTGTCCCGAGGTTCGCGCGCGCGCGGCCGCCAGATGTTATCGACATCTAGACCTCCTTCCTGGGATCTCCTGAATCATGCGTTTTGTCAACACTTTGCGCGCTGGCGACTCCGAGGCGCTGCCGGCCTCGCCCGCGAGCCGCATGTTAGCGCACACACGCGCCCGAATGGAGGCCAAACCCGTATTCGCTGAAGTCCATCTCGAGGGCTGCGCGCCATGGCGATGCGAGGCTTGCTCGGGCTATTCTGGTCTCCAGCAGCCTCGCTTCTGAATGCTGGACCATCTCGGCGGGCGATCTCATTCCCCCCCGTGGCCCATGAACACCAGAAGGCGCTATCAGAGCCCCCAGCAGGAAATGCGCGATGGAAGACTCCATCGCGCGGGGCCCCCCACTCGGGACCCACCGCCTTTCGCTGAGCAGAGCGGCTCAGAGTTCGCATAACCCGAGAGGCGTAGGTGGTGGGTTTTAGGCCCCGAAGGGGGACGCCGCCGCCCCAGGCCCTCCCGGCTGTTGATTGGGGCCCCCGCCCCCTTCCCGTCGGGCGTCATGTCCCCCTTCAGGCACACTTGGCCCCAGCGTTTGCACCCCGCGCGGCTCACGCGAAGTGCGCGGCAGCGAAGATCGACAGGCGCGCTCAGAAATGTGATGTTTCTTGCGCGGCCCGCCCACGGTTGGCCCCATTGCTCGGGCCATCCGGCATGCTAAACCCGCGGCCCCCAGCCCTGCAGGGCCACCGCATGATGAGCGGCAGCAGAGCAAGCTCTCCCAGGAATTGCTGTTCGAGCCCACGCTTGAACTCTCAGGCGGTGCCCTTCCCCACTTTGCCCAATCGATGATTTTGGCGTTCGCCCCGAGTCGGCGCCGCGAGGGGAATTTGTCGCGCGCGAGCTTCAGGGCGCCCGCCCGCTTGCATTGAGCAGTGCGAGCGCGAATATTCTGGCCGCAGCTTGCAACAATCACGCAAATATGCCAAGTGCGCGACAGGGCGCGCGCTGGCCAGAGAGGACCCTTGCGAGGCCGCCACTTGTGCGATTAGATGACGCTGTTGGACACCGCGGCCAGAATGCCCAGTTCGCGCCCGCAGCTTGATCCCCGTCCATCTACGCTCCTCGCCGTCGACGTCGGCTACGCCCTCCCCACTTTTCTCCGCGCCTCTCGCTTGGGAGGTCCTCTCCAGGTGCAAGTGCCCTCGAGGCCCCCGTGTTCCCGCGGTGGCCGCGTATGCTTTCGCCTCCGAGAGGCCCCCCTTCTACTCGGCGCGATGTGGACCTTTGGCGCAACGATGCCTGGCGCGGTGCGAAGGGGCCCTGCGTCTTTGTTCCTCTGGGCCCTGGTCACGGACCCGCTCTTGCATGATATGCAAATGTGGCTGAGGAAGCATCCAGGATCCTAGGTGGGTGCGCGCGCGGGACATCGGGGGTGGTTTGGTCGGGGCTCAGCGCGCGTTCTCTCCCATCTCGGGCGCGTGTTACGCGGCGGAGCTGCTGGATGGTCTTGCGTTGAGATTGCAGCAGTGCTGCCTGGCACCAGTCCCTGACGATGTTTCCTCTCGCTTGCGCAAGCAAGTCGCAGACGCGCTGGCCAAGCTTGCCCCGAGATGGAGAGGCTTGCTGGTAGAGTCGAATGAGGTCTACCTCGGGGTGCGGGCTGATCCTGAGGCGAAAGAACGCGTCGGGGCTCGAGCGTTTCGGGGGTGGGTGGTGGGTGGGGGGTATGTAGTTTGACAGAGACCGCCGTGCCATCGCCGCTAGTTGCATACGCTTGCACATCTCGGGCCCTCTCGACATCCCGCTACCTTGCGCAAGTGTCGCGGTCCCTGCGTCGGTTGCAAGATGGGGGCCTTGAGCGTCGTAGAAAGCGGTGCGTCTCGCACGGTTCTCTATGCCACTGGAGCAGCTGTTGGCGTTCAGGCAGCGTTCAAAACTAAAGTCTCTCTCCATGCGTGCGCAATCCGTGTCTGCCCTTCTTGGGTCTGCCCGCGATACAAGCACCAACTTGCCAGCTTTCTGGAAACGCTTCCAGCAAGCTGCGAAGCGTGAGTTTCCCATCAAATGCTGGCTGGGTGACTTATAGAGCCCTGCGCGCAGGCAGCCGACACCATGTGCGCAGGGACTGTCCAGGGCGGCTCTGGTTTCGCCCGCAGGGGCCAAAACTCAGGGCTTTCCTGGCCGTTGCGGTGTATGTTCTTGGAAGCGCGCAGACGGAGAACCCCCTGTGCTACTGTCCAAAGAAGGTGTGGACGGCCATTGGCTGTCATCCTTGGAGAAGGGAGTCTTCCGCCCATCATGTTTCACAGACTGGCCAAGTGGACACAGCGCGAGCCACCGGCGCAAGCCGTAGCAGGGGTGAGCTGGCCGGAGCTACGGGGGCGGCTCAGTTCGCTGCCTCTTGCGGGGGCTCGGTTCTAAAGACTAAGAGTTGCCGTGCCGTGCTTGCCAATTCGGTGGCATAGACGCTCGGGAAGCGCACGGCCACCTAGATGTCGTGTGCATTGGTACTGGGCGTAACGGTCTTGTGTTACCGCCCCCAGGACCCGATCGAACTTCACCTGGGCAAGAAGCTGGGCCTAACGCGCGCGATGTCTGACCCAGACAAGCTCCTGACTGTCCAAAGGTTGGCTTTGAGTTCTTATGTGTACAACGCGATCCGGTGACTCCTTGAGGTCGACCAGGACATATTGCAGATGCATGCTCGTGCCACTCGTTCGCAGCTGCTTCAGCAAGCTGGGCCTGAGGTGTCAGGACCAACGAACTCAAGTTGAACTACGTGCTGGGACAAAGAAAGAGGATGAGGAGGAGGAGGAGGAGGAGGGAGGAAAATGCGAAGAAGGAACCATATGGGCATGCGAGGCCAGAGGAGGAGGAGGAGGAGGAGGAGGAGGAGGAGGAGGAGGAATAGCAGCAGCAGCAGCAGCAGCAGCAGCAGCAGCAGCAGCAACACCAGAAACAGGAGTAGTGGAGGAGGAGGACATGGAGGTGGAGGGTGGGGATGACGACGGGGACAGAAGATGACAAGGAGGAGGAAAAGGAACGGAGAAGTGGGAGGAACAGCAAGGGCAGGACGATGATTTTGCGGGAGGCGGATGTTGCGGCGGAGGAGGGCGCATCAGAATTTTGCGCGCTCGTTCTGCAGGAGTATCTGGTATTACTTGATCAGGGTCATCGCTGCCCTCATCGTCGGACGATAGAGGAGCAAGAACACCAGGAAGCCAATGGAAATTGTCAGACGCAGGCTGGTTGCACCTTGCGATCCCGAAACGGAGAACAGGGCTCTGGAGTGGCAGGGCTGTGGCAGCTACTGCTGAGTCGTAGGAATCTCGTTCCGCTGTCCCCGCCCCCAAGGTCCAGGACGTGGGCAAGGCAGTCGCAAAGGCCATCGGTGGCCACGCCTCGGCGCCAAGGAGCAGGCTGACGCAGGAGACCCGCGGCCGAACGCAGCGGTGCCGTGGTGTTGGCAGTAGGGCGGTGATCATGAGCAAGCGGGGGGGGGAGCGGTGTTTCCCGCAGGGCATGGGCAGCAGCAGGGCATCACGTCACGAGCTACAGAGCGCTCCAGCCTCGTCGTGAACCGTTGGCGATTTGCAAAGTGAAGGGCGAAGCTGTTGCCGAGATTCGAGATTCTCGTCAGCATTGAGACACGGTATCGCGCACGTTCTACCTGTATATAGCCGCGTGCAGTGTAAACCACAAGGTAGCTATGTAGCCGGGCTGTTATGGCCACAGTTCGCTTGTCAGCAAAGTGTTGTAAGATCCTATCAGATTCGTCATTGCTCTGTGCGCTTGTCCCGTGGTTGTCCCTCAGCTGTTTCGTGGTTACTCCGTGCGGAAGATTCGTCGCTGCTTGGATATATGGTTGCGGATGGTTATTCAAATTGAACATTCGCATAAGCGTCAGTGAGGACATCGTTGGGTGGATAAGTCGTGGGTTACTCCAGGCTGGAATATGCGTTTTGTATATCGACGCGTGTACATACATATATATATATATATACCGATGTCGGGTGCAGCCATGTTGTTAGATGGGTCGTTCAGACCGACATGCGTTCGCAAACTGTTGAGGCGGTGAACCAAATACGATACATGTACACACGCACCTACATATACTTTCATATCTGTATATGTACACACAAAAATGTACATCTATATCTGTACACATGTAGTGCATTGTACGCCAGCTGGGCCCCCCTACCCGCGACCTTGGCGCCCCCCTCTCCCGCTTCCGCCCGCCACCACGCGCGTGCCCCTAACAGCGGGGCTGGTGGCTCTCACCCCGCGGCCGCGCCCCCCCGCCCCTCCGCCACCTGTCGTCCGCCTGCCTGCCTGCCTGTCTGCGTGCTTGCCTGCGTGCCTTCCTCCTCTCTTCTCCTGAGCCCAGAGGCCGCGGGCTGTCAGAACACACTGGATTGGGCTTCGCCGGTGCTTTACTGCTTCCTGGGCGATGGCTGTAATTGGCCGCCGGCACGCGGAGCTGCATATTTGGCTACCGCGCTGTCCACTCCGCCCTCCTCCTCGGTCGGTCGGTCGGTCGGAACCTAAGGGCTGTAAATATGAAGCCCATTCTGAAAAGGTGGCGAGGAAAAGGGTGGGGCAGTCCAGCACGAGGGAATTAGGAGGAGCACGCACCGTCCGCCTCTCCCAGATGGGAGCAGGAACATCCACACGCATCCCTAGCGACAACAAGGCAAGGAGAGGACACCGTCGTAGTAGCGTGGGAAAGCCACGCCGTGTCGGTGCCACACAAGCCTGACGGAACGACGGCGGACAAGGAAGAGACCAACGCAAACCACAAGGAATGTGGGATGAAGGGATGGGTGCACAAGCTTCCCCCCCCTACTAGACTGCTGACGTTCGGGACGCCAGTAATGTCACTTTCCAGAGTAGGCCAATGAGTAGCAAGCAACCTGAGCCTGCATCCTCCCTCCGCAGGGGGGGGGGGGCCAAGGAAGGTAGAGACACGCTGCTGGTGCGTAAGAAGCATCAGAGGGTCAAGACTCCAACCCGACACGTGGCCATTGAAAGAGGGGGGAGGGTGCAACCAAACCGCGGCAATCCCCCGAGCCCAGGCCTCATGCATGAGAGCGCACATCCCCAGGTAAAAAGCGTTGTCCTGTTGCACAAACTCCCAACGCTGCTCACTGAGAGTGTCAAGCCCCCAAGGCTGGACGGGGGATCGCAACATGGCCTTGGACCCTCTAAGGCGGTGTGGCCACATGGTCTGCAGGGAGGGGGCACAAATGATGGCAGCGATCCTGCCTTGACGCATGGCTCTGCACCAGAAATCGGCTTCGGAGGTCCACGCGGGCCCCCTCCATTCAACCCTGATCAAGGGCATGTCACTACCCCGCCCACCCTGCTCCCGCGCTCTCGCCAGGCCGCACAGGCAATCATCACCTTTAGCGATAACAAGAACAACCTTGTGAACGCAAGCGGGGACGGGGGGGACAACGAGAGGGGGAGGGGCCCAAACAGGGGCAGGGGCGGGAGCCGCGGGGGTAAGAACGGCCCGCGGGGGCGGGGGACCAAGCCATTTGAGGGCGACGGGGGGGCCATGGATGCGAACGGGGGCCCTGCGAGCAAAGTTATCGGGCATTCCTTTAGCACGATGCTGTTGCTGGGACAACTTGGCTTCAGCCCTGGCTTCACAGAGCTCCTGGGGGGTAGGGCGGGCAGGCCGGGCTAAGATGCTCAGAAAGCAGGCCTTAGCAGAGGAGAAGTGTTTCGCCAGCCTAGTGGGGCCCTCGAAGTCCCTCATGCAAACATTGCAAACAGAGCCCACAGCAAGGTCGTAGGGAGTCTGACCGTTTTTGTGCCTCTTAGACATGTGCACCCTCATGGTGCGAGCACACTCAGCAGCAAAGCCACACTCGTTACAGACAAAGGCAGGCACCCTGGGAGGGGGAGGAGGTGATTCCAGGGGGGTGCCCCCACAACAGTCACGAATATGCCTGGAGGCCAGAAGCACAAGGTGAGCGGTGCTAGATCGTCGCTTGGCTCGCAATGTAGCCAGGCGAAGAAGCTGGCTGTACCTGCGCGGTTGCTCGCGCGCGAGACGCACCCAGGTCGGGAGTGGGTCGACCTGATGGCACGGGCGCTCAGCGGGGGTGAGGAGAGAACAAGCCCACTTCACGCTGTCCCTAAGCACGAGCGGCCAACCGAAATCCTCATCCAACTCGAAGTCCAATAGCACCCGAAGCAAGGGGGGGGAGTACTTGACCAGCCTCGGAAGATATCTGAGCCTGCAGATGTGCCCAACTTCCGAGATGGAAATCCTGTCAGAGCGGGCCAAGATATCGGCATAGCCATGCTTCTGCTCCTCACCGTTATTTCTAAAGGGAAGTCCCTGAGCGCTGCGATATATGGCCTCATGCGCCAGCCGAACTTTGTTCTCGAGGGCAACGGTGAGCCTAGGCCAGGTAGCCACAGCATAAAGAAGACGAGAAGCCCCCAGGGCTTCGGCGTACACGGTTTTGCGACCCAGGGAAAGCGCGGCCCTGGGGGCAACGGCCTTACGAATGGGCCTGAGGGCCCCAAAAGTGGAAGTGCAGCGCAGGTGCACCTCGGGCCCCATCCCTCCATTGTCCTGAATCATAGCCCCGAGGCAGCGATGGGTGCGCACAACTTCAATCTCCATCTGGAACCGTCCCGACTTGAGAGTAGGGGTGGACATGCCAAAGTGCTCACCTCGAAGCTTCACCGACCCTTGACCCCTGAAGCAAAGCATAGCTTTAGTCTTGCAAGCATTGGGGACCAGACCCCTCTCAAAGCAAGCACGAAAGACTTCCTCAGCCATGGTGAGGACAGAGGGAACGAGACGACCAGCTTTCTCCACGGCCAGCGCAGAGGTGAGATCATCGACATAAGAGACAGAACAGTGGGGATAGTGGTGGTCGCCTGACAACGCAAACAGCAACGGGGCAGGGGGCGGGGTCCAAGCAAGCTGTTCGTTGGCCAAAGACCTTTCCGCATCCTTCTGAATGCCAGAGAAGACCACGTTAAAGTTATCCGAAGCGAGCACGGTCCCAGGGCGGGTGCCAGAGCCTGGCAAGGCAACCGAAGCAGAGTCGGGCACTTTCCAAAACGATCCCCTCTGCGAATCTTTGAGAAGGGCGAGGACCGCAGGGACGTCCACCACACGATCCAAAGCTCCAGGCTCCTGAAGGGTGGCTTTGAGGCCCGTCAACAAAAGGGGGGGGGGATGGGGAGGTCGTCCAGGGTGTCCCGAAGCAATTGTTCCTCCCCAGGCAGCTGCAACGCAATCTGTTTCAAGGTGGTGTAGAAGGCCGAGTGCAGGTCCAGGAAGAGGAAACCCGTGCTTCGCTTGCACTTATCAGCCACCGCCGAGAACTCACGCACAAAGTGAATGGCATTCTCACAAGACCTGCCAGGGAGCCCCCCACACTGAATCACAAGCATGCAACGCTCAAAATACCCCCACGCAAGCTCCCTGATGTGCCGATGGTAAAGCTTGCCAATGACGTTGGCTTTGAGGATGCTACGCTGATTCTCTTTGGCCGCAACCAAGCCCTTACCCTTCCAAAAATACGCAACAAACCCAGCCTTGAAAGAGAGCGGTTCCTTGTCAGCAATAGTGCTCTTGACAAGGAGGGGCAAAAGAAGCTGCGCAACCTCAGCGGGAGCCGCCCTTCCAAGATCAGCCCTCACTCCATCAGGTCCAGGGGCCCTATGTGGCTGAGCCTTCCTGATCGCACGCTCGAGTTGATACCGCGAAATCAGAACATCCCCAGGGGTGACGAGCGGGTCAGGAGGCATCAGGCCTTCGACGACATGGGAGGGCCCTCTAGTGGCCTTAGTGAGAGGGGGGAGAGCATTGTAATGATCAACAATGGCATGAATGTCGAGAAGCTTGGCATGCTCAACTTTGGCAAAATGCTGGTGCATACAATCAGCCACAGCCTCCTTGGACACAAGAGCCTCCCCATCGTTCCCCATCATGATGGGTTCCGTGCGGGGGCGCTTCGCAGACCTACCCCCAAAGCGAAGCAAGGTGTCAAGATGCTGCCACTCGTGCAGTGGCTGTCTCCCGTCAATGGACACCTTGACGGACACCGCCTGTTGATCAAGGAAAGAGGTCTTATCTTGCTCAAGAAGGGCCCCCACCACCACCTGAGACTTAGTGAGGAAATCCACCAGCCCGCTAAGAAGCGTGAACACAGGCGTGTGGGGCAGGAAGGCTTCACACAAGCGAGTGCGCAGCGCGCACCAAAGCGCCCACCACCGAATAGGGGGATGGTTGACGACCTCACAGTGGAGGTCGCCTCTGATGCATCTGCCAGCCAGTCTAGTGATCAAAGCCCGTTCACTAGGGCCCTCCTGGCCTTGGCATTTACGCAGAACTCTCTTGACCCCTCTGCGACACCTGACCAAGAGCAGCACCTGCGCACTGATGTACGACTTAC